TGACTGAGGACATTTTCTATGAAAAGTCGTTGGAAGAAGCAGCGTCATTTCATTCTGCACCACAACTGAGAGGATTCTTCGTCACTCTGCTGATGTTTGGGGAAATTCATAATGCTGAAGAGAATGGTACAGGTGAGAAATTTAAAAAAAATTCTATTTTGAAAATCAACATTTTTCAGATTTGTGGATGACTTCTCAGAAGACTTTTTATACAAGCACTTCCCAATCTCTATTGCCTCATGAACATCTCTATTGCCTCATGGAAGAACGGTGGCTTCCTTGTTCCATCTTAACATCAAGGATGGATGTAAGACCTCAACCATCCATCTTCAATCCGCCGAAGCCAAATACCTCGCCGAACATGATGTCGTATTTTGGGATGAGGCTCCTATGAGCCCCAAATCGTCACTTGAAACAGTGGATCAGCTTTTTCGTGACGTCACCAAAATCGATAAACCATTTGGTGGAAAAGTGATCATCCTTGGAGGCAACTTCCGACAGTGCCTTCCAGTTGTGGATAGAAAAGGAAGAGATGAGCAAATTTCAAATTCCATCAAAAGATCTCATCTTTGGCCACTTTTCCAAGTCTACCATTTGAAGACCAACATGCGTGCCCAAAATGCTGATGAAGAATGGAAAAGGTAAAAAATTAGATATTTAATTTATAATTTTCAATCTGATTTTTTCAGTTTCCTTCTTGGGGTTGGCGAAGGTCTGAAAGGAGAAGAGGGGACTGGAGTCATGGAAGTTCCAGAAGATCTCAGATGCGATGGAGATTTGGCCGAGGAGAATCTTTGGATCTTTACTTCGAAACGGGTCTAATGTTTCTGAAATCTCCAAAGTGACCATTCTCTCTCCAACCAACCAACAAGCACTTCAAATGAATCAAAAAGTGATGGAAATGGTTCCAGGAGAGATGAAGACGTATTTCAGTGTTGATGAGGTCGGAGACAACCAAAATAGTCACTCTGATGCTGCCAACTTTCCAACAGAATTTTTGAATAAAATGACTCCATCAGGATTACCACCACACAAATTGGAGCTGAAAGTTGGTGCATTGGTCATGCTCCTCCGAAACCTTGAAGTTCGAAACGGACTGTGCAATGGTACACGATTGGTTGTTCGAGAAATGGGAGAGCGGGTTCTCAGATGCGCTTTTATTTCGGGACCAAATGAAGGTGGAGACGTTTTGATTCCAAGAATCAAACTATCATTCAATTCGGGGATTCCATTCGTGCTCCAAAGACGTCAGTTCCCAGTAAGACCTGCCTTTGCTGACCGTCAATAAGGCCCAAGGCCAAACATTCGATCGTATCGGACTGGACGCTCCGATTTTTGCTCATGGACAGCTATATGTTGCATTGACAAGAACAAGAACTAAGGATGGAATCAGAGTTTGGGCTCCAGAAAAAGTCATGCATAACATTGTTTACAAGAACATCCTGTAGCTCCATTTCTAGCTTAAATTTTTTCAACCCATAGCCATTTTTCATAACTATCCTTTTCTAGGAATTAAACTGTTGATCTGAATTTTCCCTTTTTGATGGTTTTAAAATTGTTCTTCTAATCAATTGTTCTACTAATAAATTTTCAAAAAATAAAATGATAATTGGAACTTTTTGAATTTAAACTGAAGCCAGTGGAAATCGCGGCGTAGCCGCGAATTTTCACTGGTATTCGTTTATAAAAAAAAAATCCAAAAAGTTTTCACAAAATTTAAATTTTCCTTCAAAAAAAAGCGACGTAAAAAACTCACGACCCTAGATGGCTCATTGACCTTGGGAAAAGTACTTTAAAGGAAGAAAGAAGTGAAGGGAAGAATGAGTTTTCAGAGAAGGGGCCCGGGGAAGGAATCCGACTGGAGCCAGGTGACGGGCGCCTGGGCCATCGGGCTCTAGAGCTGGAGCTCTGGACATTGAAATTTCCTAAATCTATCGCCGCTTAGCTGCTGACATTATTCAATTTTCGAAGTTCGAAAGTTTATGGATTTGTCCCACGCATACTATTGTCCCTCCCACACTCAACGAAACTATTGTTAACTACAAATAACCAAAATGAGTATCGATGATCGACAAGTTTGTGTTTCGTGAAAATCCATGGTCCTAAACTCTTGAACTTGTAAAAAAAGCCAAAAGCCCAGAAAAAAGCCAAAAACCCAGAAACCACATCAGCATCCCCTGATTCAATCAACATGGTGAGTTGGCTCTTCTGAATATTTCAAAAAATCAATAATTAATTTCCAAATGTTCCGTCTTCTTCTCGCCGCCACTATCTTGGTTGTCGCCGCCAATTCGCAAGGCCTTATGGCCATCTGTATGCAATACTGTGCATCAATTCAAGGATCGATTTCTTATGACAACTGCGCTCCATGGAACAGCTACGAAACCCATCAAAACAAGACTTGTTACAACCTCTGCGTGCATAACTGTGCCACTGTTTACGAGGGATCGTGCATGACCGGAAATGGATTCAGATGCTGTATGATGACCACACCAACCAAGACTCAGGAATTCAAGCGTACCGGATGCAACAAGATTTACAATAACCTCCCTGGATGGTGGCTTTAAGAAGCTTGTTTGAAAAAAAGTCCATTTTTTATTCTTAATAAATATTAATGAGCATTCAATTGAAAAATTTGGATTTTTGAGACAATTTTTTTTCTTTATTCAAAAAAAAACAATTTTCGGAAACAAAACCAAAACATGTATACACAAGAAATGAACGATTTTTCAGAGTTTTCACAAAAAACAAAAATTTTCAAATTTTCAAAAAATTAATATTTTTCAATTGTACGATCCTTCGGTTTCGTGTAATCCGCTGCTTCTGATTTTGTGATGAATGGGAATCCAGCATTGCACACAATAATGATACCAGTGATGAACAGGAAGAGAATGGTCCACTGAAAAAATTGGATTTCTGGAGAATACAGAAAAATAGGATTTTAGACAATTCATGCGATTTCAAGAAAATTGGTCAAGTTTACAAAATTCAAACAGTGATATGAAATTAGGGAAAATTTGCAAAATTCGTATAACTTCACAGAAAGGAAACGCTACGAAACCCATCAAAACAATACTTGTTACAACCTCTGCGTGCATAACTGTGCCACTGTTTACGAGGGATCGTGCATGACTGGAAATGGATCCAGATGCTGTATGAAGACCACACCAACCAAGACTCAGGAATTCAAGCGTACCGGATGCAACAAGATTTACAATAACCTTCCTGGATGGTGGCTTTAAGAAACTTGTTTGAAGATAAAAAGTCGACTTTTTATTCGTAATCTACTTCTTACTAAGGAAACTTTTCTGTGTGTGTGTCTGTGTGTCCGTCTCGGACATTAACTTGAATAACTCCAAAGGGCATGGGACTCCTATAATGGTGTGTGGTATGTAGCCATGGACTACCGAGCCCTTCATGTCCATGGTGTCCTGGGCCTTTTAGCAAATCGGGAACCTATAGGGTTGAGAATCGAAAATTTCAAAATTATGCTCAAACTCACTAAAACTTCAGGGAATTCTCAAAAACGGTTTTCAGGCCTATCTATGTGCTGCCCACAAAAAATTGAGCTGAAAGCTTTGCAACAGAAATTTTTTGTAACATTTTTTTCGTGATTAACTAAAATTCTGTGACCTACTGTAAATTTGGCTGCCGTGTTTTTTTTCGACTGCAAAACATTCTAGAGAATTCCAGGACAGTTTAGAATACTCTCGAAAGCTCTACATCATTCCAGGAAATTCTAGAAAATTCCAGAACATTCTAGAAAATTCCAGAACATTCTAGAAAATTCCAGAACATTCTAGAAAATAGAAAAATGTTATTGGAGGATCTGCTGTGAAGTTCAAGATAATTTTTTTCAATTTCTGGAACTGAAATCTGACCCTTCATACAGAGTGGTCCGCTGGAGCGGCGTCTTGATGAAGTTGGAGCCAGAGCCCATGATGCAACTGAAGTCAGGACGAAAAACATTCGGCCATTCTGGTGTTTGAGAAGAATGTTCAGCTGCAAAGTTCACGAAGTTCAAGATAACGGTCAAAAGATTACTATTCCCACCACGCCGACGATTTAGACGATTTATGCAGGGACGCATTTTGTCTAATTCAGAATGAAAATAAGAAAGAGTTGAGGATATGTGGAGCAATTCAATTTATTGATCTCGCTGTGAAAATGGATTTAAAGGTGGGGGGACATGAAAAAAAATAATGTTCCCGAAATTCTGTTTAAAGATGCCACTCGAGGAGTTGAACTTGTGGAGGTGAGGATTGCGGGTGCGGCGCCGCTACCGACTGAGCCACGCGGGCGAAAAGAGACAGCTGTACGTATGCATACCCTAACTTGACCACTTCTTTATACCCTTTACAGGAAATGACAGAACCGGACAAAAAGCTATGAACTTTTGGTTTTTCCACTTTGGTTCTTCAGAATAGGGCTAACGCGTCAAACTTTTCTGTAAAATGATTCTGAGATTCGTTTTTTTAACTTAAACAAAAATTACAAATTTAACATTTTTATTCATGAGGAAAATTAATCGAAACACATTGTACAAACGCACTCTCCAAAAATGCAGGTTCCGATTTTGCATCTCTGAAATCTTTTTTTTTCGATTAAGAAAAATTTAACTAATTAATTACCTGACATTTGACATGTTCACACACAAAATCTCCCAGAAAACAGTGAAAATCAGCGACAATCGAATTAATCAAAAATAGAGCCAAAATTAGAAGAATGAGAAATTTGGAAAGCATTCTGGAAATTAAAAAAGTTGTTTCAAAAAATTTCATTTCAAAGATTTTCAGACAATATTTGGAAAAAAATCTGGAATTATGAAAATCTGGGATACCGTAAAACCTGTAATCGAAGGACCTCTAAGTTTTAACTTTGGACCAGTTCATCTCGATTCCTGTTACAGACATGAAACAGTTATCAACTGATAAACTGTTTGTCACAATATCAAGAAGATTTAATTAGTTGACACATTCCTGATACCTCTTACAAGAACTGAGATAAATGAGCTCACGCTTGACAGTGTAGGGGCTCTTCTATTACAGATTTTATGTCCGAATACTTCAATTTTTCTCTTTTTTTCTCTAACCTTTTATACTTTTAAAAGTTTTTGTTAATCCCGTTATACTGGTTTTGTGATCACAAAAAAAGCACAAAACTTCAAATCACAACTAAATCACATTTACAGAAAATAATTCTTTTTTTTTCAATTTTTTATAATTTTTTTCCAACTTTTCAAAATGTTTTTTCAATTTTTATAAATTTTCAAAACTTTTTTTCAGAATTTTTTTCTCAATATTTTCAACTTTTTCGGTTGCAAAATGTCCAAATGGATAAAAATATGAAAATAGGAAGTAACATTGCATATTATTCAAATTCAGAGCAAAACATGTTTTTTGGAAATGAAAAATATTTTTCCAAAATTCCCAAAACTTCCTTCATGTCATGTTGTATAAAATGAGTGCCCAGGATTCGAAAAGCATGCAATTTTTCTCTGAAATGCTTAAAATTGCTGTTCTCCTTGCCGTTGTGGCTGTGGTAAGTTTTGAATTTTTCTAAAAAATGCTCAAATTTTAAAATAAAACAATTTCAGAGCTCTTCTCTGAGCATCGTTCGTCTCCCACCAGTGGACCCAACAGTGGACCCACCAGTGGATCCAATCGAACCAACTATCGATGTACCATTGCCATGGTACCCATGGTACCCGTGTTACCCATATTATCCAATGCCACTGGAAGGACTGGAGGAATCAAAAAAGCAATGATGATCAGATATAATCAGTTTGCCGGCTGAGCAAGCTTGAATTTTTTTTTGAAATGTTTATCTTTTTCAAATTCTTGTGATCATTGAAATATAAAATTTTTTTTAGTATCTATAAATTGTCATTCGTATTCTTTTCAGTTAAAAACAGTTTATAAATTAGTTCCAAGTGCATTTTCTAGTTGTCTAGATCTTCTTCTGAAAACCAAACGAATGCTTTGTACATTTTCTCTCGATGCAATATATGAAATAGACACTATAATTGGTATCCATGGCGTTAAAAGAAAATAGAACAACGTCAAAAAAGCAAAAGTTTCCCGGCGAAATTCACGAACAATTAGGTCTGTAATTGTAGCGATACTGTGGACCTGTAATCTAATAAAATTATTTGAAAAATCCGAAGAAAATCGGCGATTCTGAGCGACGATTCTGAAAAATCGAAATGTTCACCGACCATTTGAAACGAAAATAACGGAGAAAACTGATACAAAATATGCCTTCGAAATTTCCTATAATTTTCTAATCGTCCCAAAATTCGATACACAAAAATATAAAATCCATGAGATATAAAAGTGAGAAATATGAAAAATAAATTGTAAAAAATGTCGAGTTCTTGAAATTTAGCGTTTTCACAATTGGGTTTGTAGAAATTGAAACCGCATTTATCTGAAAACGTTTTTTGGGGAAGTTTTTGAAAATTGGAACAAAAAAGTTACAAAAAACAAACGCCCGGTGAGCCAAACATATATAAGTGAAGATAATCTGAACTTTCAGCCAAAAACTGTAAATTTTCAACTTTTCCTATATTAAAAACATATATCTCTAATTACCCGGTAATCAAAAATTTGAATTTTGGCATTTTAACAATCACAATTTTTTGTAAAACTGCTAAAAATGAAAAAGCAGTTATTGAAGAAAAAACAACTTCTAGTAATTGCCCGAAATACGATTCCAGAAGCATCAGAATAACAACAAAAAACATCAAAGTCGTGTCTTCACTGGCTGGATCTCCAATAAAACGTAATAAGATACATAGGTCAAAAACAGCTAAAGTGAATAGTGATATATAAAATAATTGATCAAAAATCATCTTTTCAAATTCAATGAAATTTTCATTTTTTGTTTTTCCAGCCAGTTTTGAAATTCTATAAAAAATGAGAAGAGCAAAAAGCGTATTGCTCAGAATTGCGGTTATTATTGAATACTCTTCGTATAATAATAATTCTGTATTAGAGATTTTCAATTTTTTTCCAGAAAAAAAGTTAGGTTGAGACTTTCAACTTGATAAAAACAGCGCACAGGTGAAAAATTTAATGCTTGATTTTATATATCGAATTTTGATTCTCGAATTCTGAAATTAAGAAATTCGGAAAAATTCCAAAATTCGGAAAGTTTATGAACCAGGTGAAAATCTTTACTACTAACAATCACCAAATTCTGTGTGTGAGTGTGTGTGTCCGTTTGTTCCCGTATCACCTTTCCTAGCGAAGTCCAGAATGGACCAAAATTTCCCAAATTTTCCCAGATCACCCGAAATAGCAGCGAGATGATGCCCGTCTATTTTATGTTTCGAAATTTTGAGTTTGACACCTTCTGGAGACGTTATTCTGTTTATACGGAGCAAATTTTTAGAAAATTATTGAAACAATTTTTACGTCATCCCCGTTTAGCCGCACAAATTTTTTTTAATCCATGCTATTTCTGGGAGAAAGGTGATTTTGAGGAAACGTTATTTTAGTCTGGGTTTTTGAATATTTGAGAGGGAAAAATTCTGAAACAGAGGAAAAAATAGATTGCGAGGAAACATAAGATCGCGCTTTTTGGATCACTCGAATTTTCAGCATTTCAACTTTTAAGAATTTCCGAACTTAATTTCTGAGTTTTCAAATTCTGGAATTTCTAAATTTTGGATTTTAGTTATTCACCGAGTTTGCAAAAAACATTTCAGAATTTCTGATTTTAGAACTTTTCAGGTTTCCAAATTTTGGAGTTTCTGAGTTTTTGGAAATTATGATTTTCGAATTCGTGAATCTATAAACTTCTGATATTCCGAAGTTCCAAGAACTCCTGGAGACTTTGTTCATTTCGAAACGTAGAACTTCTGAATTTCCAAATTGCCGGGTTCTCAATTTCTCAAATTTTCGAACTTCAGAGAGCAAAGAAACTATGAAAAAATTCAAAAAAGGGGCTCTAATTTGGTATTTTTTTTTTCTTTTCTGCATGATTGTGGGCATTATGAGCGGGAGATGTCCAGTCGTTCATTAAGCGAAATTAAGAATTTTCGAATTCCTGGAAATCGGAAATATTAGGTTGTTCAAAAAGTAATGTTAGTTTTTGATTCATTTTAACTTGATGCAACACTGGAATAAGATAAGATTAATCAAGGGGCTTTTCTCCATCATCATCTACCACTTTCCAACAATACATGCTCAAAGACCTCTTCAGGAACTAAGATAGCTGGAAGTCGAAGTAGTTCGCACTAAACGCCCATTACTTTTCGAACAACCTAATACTAATTTTCCAAATTCCAGACGGTCAGGTTTTCGAAAAGTTGACAAGCCCTCACTATAAGATAACGCAATGTAAGCGGGAGCCAAGAGGTCCAGCCATAAGTAGTTTCGAAACTTTGAAAATTTGGAAAGTTATTATTCAGGAATATTCAGGAATATTCATTTTATATTCAGGAATTTTCGTGGCTTCAAAAAATTTAAAAAATTAAAAATTGAATTGTAGGATACAGTAAGCGGAAGCCATGAGGTTGAGCCCCAGGGCAGCGACTGATTCCCAAAATTCTGAAAATCTTAATTTCCGAGTTGATGAACTCCGAAATTACCGCATTCCGCGTTGCCTAATTTAGGTTTTCAGAAACTCTGAATGTCGAAGTCTAGAATTTTCCGATTTTGGACCTAGAAAAAATCTCTGAGAAAAGGTATTGAAATCTCTTTTTTAAGTGGCAAATTATTGTTAGCAGAGGCCAGTAGGTTTAGCGCAAAGGGGCGCAAACCGACATTTGAAATTTGAAAATTCGGGAGGAAAAAAACCAGAAAGTTAACAATTTTTCACATTCAATCAAAACTTTTTCTTTTATTATCTCAAGTTTTGAGATTCGAACGTTTTAAGTGTAGCCAGGAGATGAGATTGTAGCCGCCGACAGGCGGCGGAAATCGACTGGTAATATTTAACCTCTTTCATGTTTCTTCTTGTCAATAGCATGTGGTCGATAATCTAAATCTGAGATGAGCAGAATTCCTTATTCCTTATTCCTTCTTCCTTCTTCCGGATTTTTTAGTTTTAATTCCTTCTTCCTTATTCCTTATTCCTGATTTTTATCATTTTTCCGGAAAATTGGGACAATTTTTAGTTTGAAATTTTTTCAAATATTAACATTATTCAAACCTAAAGTACTGCTTAAAATGTCGTTTAATGTAGCCTAAAATTCATTTCTACATGTTTCTTCAAAAAATTGTCCAAAAGAATTAGATTTTTTCGAACTTTTGTTCCTTATTGTTGGTCTTCAAATGGTAGACTTGGAAAAGTGGCCAAAGATGAGATCTTTTGATGGAAATTTGCTCATCTCTTCCTTTTCTATCCACAACTGGAAGGCACTGTCGGAAGTCGCCTCCAAGGATGATCACTTTTCCACCAAATGGTTTATCGATTTTGGTGACGTCACGAAAAAGCTGATCCACTGTTTCAAGTGACGATTTGGGGCTCATAGGAGCCTCATCCCAAAATACGACATCATGTTCGGCGAGGTATTTGGCTTCGGCGGATTGAAGATGGATGGTTGAGGTCTTACATCCATCCTTGATGTTAAGATGGAACAAGGAAGCCACCGTTCTTCCATGAGGCAATAGAGATGTTCATGAGGCAATAGAGATTGGGAAGTGCTTGTATAAAAAGTCTTCTGAGAAGTCATCCACAAATCTGAAAAATGTTGATTTTCAAAATAGAATTTTTTTTAAATTTCTCACCTGTACCATTCTCTTCAGCATTATGAATTTCCCCAAACATCAGCAGAGTGACGAAGAATCCTCTCAGTTGTGGTGCAGAATGAAATGACGCTGCTTCTTCCAACGACTTTTCATAGAAAATGTCCTCAGTCAAGTATCCGGCAGCTTTAGCATCATCCACAAATTTCTCATAAAAAACACCTCCAACGGTTTGCAAATCTTCATATGATTTGGCATCAGTGACGTTTAGGAACATGACTCTCAATGCGAATCTTTCCTGATCTCTCGGAGACACGAAATGCATTCTTCCGATCGATCGTGTAGCATTTTTTCTAAGAGTCCATTTTCCTTTGGTGAATTGGAAATGTTCTGGCATCTGAACATAATAGATACCTCGGCAGTCCACAACGTCTTCTGGAATCATTCCAGTCGATTCAAGCTCATCATAACACCTTTTGTTTGCAGCAAACCACGCTGTTAGTGTTGTTTCTCGGAGCTGTCCTCTCTCTGCTGCATCTTTTTCTTCTCCTTCTTTATAAACGACTCCTTGGGCATTCTTCAGATGCACGTTGAGCTGCATAACTGGGGTGCTTCTGTCGGACATTCGGAAGTCGAAGATCTGTTCTTTGGCAATCAACTGATCCTTCCGCATATTGTTAAAGTAACTTATATACTTTTCATCTACAGTAATTATATCATTGAACCAACTGAACGTGTCAAGAAATAATGGGAGAAACAACCCATGTCATCACGGCGATCCATATTGTCGTCCTTCCAAGCATGGTTTACGAATGGACCAAATTTTTGATACCGCCAGGAGACCTCAATCCGATCACAATACGGTTGACTAACTAACAATGGCTTTGACTTTTACACGTGGTTTGAAGCGGATTGGTTTCAGTAGTATTCTTCAATAGGTCCAAGTGCGATTTCCGGACCGAGATTCGTCTTCCAGTTCTAAGTTTTTGGCTTCAAATTGATCGGCCCCATGCTTGATGGTAGGAGTAGTAAGAGATCCTTCTCTATCTAATTCTTTCATTTTCTTGTGGATAACATGCCTTGCTTAACCAGGAAGGAATAAAAACAAAATGGCATTTTGAATGAGTTGACCGTAAGGACCGAAAGCAAGCGACATGTTCGCGAACGACGAAAAGGAAAAAAAGGACAAAGTGTGTACAGAAAGTCCATGAGATACTCTATCTAACAAAAAAACATCCGCCAAGAAATATAGGCGCAATGGCCAGATATAAATCTTCAAAGTTGAGCATTCAAAATAGAAAGAAACTTATGGACCAATCTAATATATTGTCTTTTTTCTCAGCATATCTCCTGATGACGTATTACGCCCCTTAAAGGAGGCCAGACAGCAAAAATTTTGGGGGACAGTTTGGGAGACGAAATCGCGCCGCGCTTATGTAGGCCATCGGTCGGCAGGCGCCTTCGCGCCCCTGTAGCTCAGCCGGTAGCGGCGCTGTGCCCCTAACTACCTGTACCTAGTAAGCTGTGCAGCATGAGTTCAACTCCTCATGGGGGTTCTCTAGGCAAAATATCATGAAACTTTTTTTTATGCCTATCCTCCTTTAAAGTGTGAAAAAAAGGATTTTCCCAGGAGGCGGGACTACACAGGTCAAGAAATGACAACATTACCGTTTTTCACAATTTACTTTTTTGAATTGCAAAATTACGATAGAAAAAAGTTCCGGTTTCATTCTGAATTGTTCGAAACTTTTCAACAATTTGATATTGAAAGAAAAAGGTTTAATCAAAACATTCAAATAGAAACAGATGAAACATTTTATTTTCGAAAATAAAAAACCAATCACACAATCTGAGAAATTGACAAAAGCAGTACCACGATAATCAAATCCAGGTTTTTGGCGAATTTGTACGGTGGACGAGTATTTGCTTCTTTTATGAGAGTGTCTAAAAGTATTTTAAAAAGACTGTTAGACTTTCAAAGAACAATCTTACAACAACTTTTCCCATCGAAGCTTGGTCTTTCCCAACCGTCTTGACCAAGTTCGTTTTCAAAAAATGAGCAATACTTTGGGTCCAAAATGAACTCCTGGGTGTTATTTGTAAACACAACTGACGATTCTCCATTGTTTTTTATTCGCTAAAAAATTTCAAATCTTCAATTTTTTAATTGAAACATTGTAAAAAAAAATTTAAAAATTTAAAGTTTCTCAGAATTTCAGAACATCTAGAAATTCAATTTTTTGATTTTTCAAAATTCAGAAAAAATGTTTTTTGTTAAATTTTTTAGTTATATAAAACTAACTTAAACAAACCTTGAGATTTGGAAATGAGAAATTCGATAGATACGGATTATTTTGAACAGTAATCGCTGGATAGCCATCTGAAAAATTTTCAAAATTGATTTCTCAAATTGAATTTTTTTTCAAATCTCTAAATATTAAAAAAAAAACTCACATCCCAATGCTGAAATATACTTCAGATTTTGCAAAAAATCAATAGTCGTCAAGTTGGTTTTTTCGATGTATAAAACTCCGAAAATGATTTCCACCGAGCTCAATTTTTGTACATTTTGCACATTTTTGGAATTGATAACCAATTTTCCAAACATCTGTGTGCATCCATCTTGAATTTCGGTTTCCTCATCCACGTTATACGAAGCGTTGCACAACTTTCCGGAGCTCGGCTGGATTCCGGGCTCACAAATTCCTCCGCCCAATTTTTTCAAATTCACATCGTCGATATTTATGAAATTGTACATTTCCACAGATGTTATACAAAATCCATATTTTTCAGAATCGATATTAATCTCGATTTCGCATTCATTGGCTTCCAAATTTTCAGCAGACGGTGAAGCGTACTGAAATTATGAAAATTTGAAAAAAAATCTATTTTTTTCATTAAATACCTTGAAATTAGGAATGTTCAGTTTTTTCATTTCCTCATTTCCATGAATATTGATAAATGAGCATTTGATTTTTAAGAGATTTGTCATTCCAATTTCTTCCATTTTCGGGTTATAAGCGATCGTAAAGTCGGCAAGACCTGGAATTGTTTCCCTGTTTTTTGCATTATTTTGGTTTTCTCATTTTTCTTTTTTTTTTTTAATTACGGCTATAATTTTTTTAATTTGTTTCAGAATTAAAAAAAATATCGCAGTTCATTTTTTGAGTTTTCAGGTTCGAAAAAAAAATCGGAGCTAACCACATTCAACGGATTCCAAAGTCCGCAAAAACTTTGCACTTGTGAATTTTGTTTTAAACAAAATCAGACTTCCAATCAAATGTTTCACATTTTGAAATGCTAAAATTAATTGATTTTCTGATAAATCACAATGATTATTGATTCCCAAATTTGTACAAATAGTGGTACAAGTACTGGGAAATGATCCAATTGTCGTTGAATTCAAATCGTTACCATTGAAGATACATGAAGCGTCTGGAAAGATGCAAGTTCGCTCTATTAAAATGAAGATTGGCAATAGAAAAAACTAACCACATTTCGACTTGAAAAAATCATATTCATTGAAATCTAAACAATGAGTGATCACAATTAAAATTGCGAGCAAAAATGGATGTTTCATGGGAAAGTCTAAAGATTGAAAATTTTCCCAAGTTCCCATCTGAATGAATTCTTGACAAACAAACTATAAGTAGAGAGAAAACTTATGAACCAGGTGGAAAATGAAATTTGATCAAAAACTTTATTTCTGGTTTTTTGAGCACAAAATGTGTTTGATTTACACCTGAAATGATGTTAAGATCAAACATTTGGCGTTGCCATAGAGATTTTGAGGAAACACACATTTTTGAATTAATTGAAAAATGAGAAAACATAGGAAAGAGCGGAAACAAACCGATTGAAAACACAAATATTAAAAAAATGTTAAATAATATGAAAACTAATGCAAAAAACTTGATTTTTTTGTGAAATTTTTATAAAGGATTTTTTAAAAATTTCAGTTAGTTTTTATTTCTAGAATTTTTAGAATCTTGTTATTTTGCTTTCGTATTCAATTTAAGCAGCCCACCGACAACCTATTAAGCAGCCGACCGACAGCCGACCGAGCTGACCGGTCGGTCGGCGCGCCGACCGTTTTTGTGCATTTGCGCGTCAACATGTTTGCATACGCAGCAATGTATTTTAGGACAAACTACTCACTAAACGCCTCGTTTGTCGTAAAATAAATTGCTGCGTACGCAAAAATTCGTATTTTGATGCGCAAAGGCACGAAAACGGTCAGCTCGGTCGGCTGTCGGTCGGCTGGGTTGGCGGTCGGTCGGCTCGGTCGGGGGTCGGTCGGTCGGCTAAATTTTCCCACCGAATGGAAGCCTAAATTCAAGTTATTGTCATTTTTATTACATTTTCGAGTTTGTTTTGAATTTTTAGAAATAATGGAATTTTTGAAAATATTACCTTTTTTCTCTCTTTTTGCATTTTTGCAATTAAAGGAAGCCAGACACCAAAAAAAAAGTTTTTCTGATATTTTGCATAGAGAACCCCCATGAGGGGTTGAACTCATGACAGTCAGCTCAGGGGTACAGCGCCGCTACCGGCTGAGCTACGGGGGCGCGAAGGCGCCTGACGACCGATTGTCTACATAAGCGCGGCGCGATTTCGGCCCGCAGTTCGCTCCCGAAATTTTTGCTGTCTCGCCTCCTTTAAATTATCTAACTTAAGTTTCTTTTTTTCTGATTTTTAGCTGTTTTTTGAATTCTAATTCTCAAAAAAAAATTTGTGTGTAGTTTCAGTTGTTTGAGTTTTGTCCCCTTGGCAACCAAAAAAATGAAATTAGTGGAAACGTTTTTTTCCGGAGAGTGATTCTGAAGTCAGCAGGTGTAAAAAGTTTCTCTTACAAGTTTTTTCCTTTTTTACATTTTTTTATTTTCTAAAAAGTTTCAACACCATTGTCAGCACTTTAACTTTTTTTACTTCCCAGATATCATGAACTTTTGTTTTCTGGTTTTTCTACTGACTTTTTTCAAAACTTGGGTATCTGGAGATCTAAGCGAAGTTCTAGCCTCGACTTCTGGACATCTGGAATGCGGTGAGCGGGAAAAATAGAAAAAATTACAGTACCTACAACCAGTCGGCTATAAAAGACTAATAAACAAAGGAGAATAAAGAGAATAAAGTGGGAAATAGGAAGATTTCTGAGGAGTAAGCACAGTGGGCTGGGCCTAGAGGTCCTCTGAATATCTTAAAGTTGTTGAGTCGGTGAATAGCCACGTGGAATCGACAACAATCGGGCCCCGCCTCACTTTCGCCCGCGTGGCTCAGTCGGTAGCGGCGCCGCACCTTCCATACTCGCCCCGA